TTCAGTTTTAAAGATGCATATATGTGGTTAAGTGTTATTTTTAACTTGGCAGGTAATGGATTCACACGTGTTTGACTTTTTTTAAATTAATTTTTGATGCGACAATACAAGATTTACTTAACTGTAGGGTAAATGGGGATTCAAACAGCAGTTAGTGGAGATGGAATACAGAGATTTTCTCAAGTGAGCTAGAGAAGTTAAATGACATTTGGAGGCCACCTGCAAGCATTGTCCCAGGCTCTAAGGAAAGGTGCTTCCGGTTGTGGCTTCTCTCAAGTTGTAGTTGTGGTTCTTAGTAATCTTACAATGTCCATGCAGGATAGGGCTGGCACTGTGTAGTGAGAGGCTAAGCCTCCACCTGTCGTGCCTGGTTGGACTCCCTCTGCCCTACTTCCCATCCAGCTCCCTGCTTGTGGACTGGGAAAGCAGTGGGTCCTTGGGCCCCTGTGTCCACGTGGGAGACTGAGAGAAAGCTCTTGGCTTCAGATTGGCCCAGTTCCTGCTGCTGTGGCCATTTAGGAATGTGAACGAGTGGATGGAAGTTGTCTCTGTAACTCTGCCTTTCAAATAAAAATAAATAAATCTTTAAAACAAACGATTTAAAAAAAAACACCCTTTTGGGGTATACCGTAACTTTGGGTTAAATTGCTGGTGGGGATGTCCGTGTCCTGTTTCAGAGCCAGGGAACCAGCTGAGAGCCAGCTCTTCCTTAGTCCAGCTTGTGGCTGATGCTCCCCCAGGAAGCTGCAGGTGGCAGCAGCCCAGGCCCCTGGGTCCAGGCTCCTGGCTCCTGGCTGCAGCCTGGGCCAGTCCTGGCTTTCGTGGACCTTTGCTGAATGAACCAGAGGCTAGAAGATGTCTCTGTGTTGATCTGCTTTTCAAGTAGATGAAAAGGAATACATTTTTAAGATTCTCCAAAGACATGTTGGGGAAAGTCAGGCTGTAGAGGTGTCTTGTTCCAAACAAAAACCCCTGTCGCATGAGCGCTGCAGACATTTCTGGTTGTCTTAATCACCCAGCCAGAACAGCAAGCCCCTCACTGCTTACCGCTGGACTCCTGCATTCAGGTTTTGTTTCATGAGAAAGTTGGATTCTGACAGAGAGATAAGACAACCTATTCTCCGTTCTGCTCTGCTCAGCCGCAGTGGAACTGAGTCTTGGCAGGTGCTGCCTGCCCCTGCCTGAGGTGCTGTTGGCTTTCCGGGTGTCTGCGTTCGGAAGAGACTGCTGAAGCTGGGTGATGCGCTTTGATTTTCTTCATCTTCTTACTACCCATCTCTCTCTGCTGTCTTTGGTTGCAAGGGTAAAAGGTAGATTTTTCTCTGGGAAAATGTGGACCTTCTGTGGTTTTCTTGCACGTGGAAGCCCTCCTGCAGAGCACAGTGTGAGGGCTGGGCCACGTGTGGCTTGGTGCAGTGTGGCACCGCTCTGACGGGCTGCTGGCTCTATGGCTCCGCGCTGGGTTGGTCGGGAGTCTGTGAGGTCTGCGTCCAGCACTGAGGCTTTCTGTGCCCAGCCCTCGCAGCCCCTGTCCTGGGCTCCAGATCTGCTTCATGATGGGGAGCTGGTCCGCGTCCAGTCTTCTTTCTGCCATCTTTCACCTTCTATCATTTTATCTTTTACTCTAACAATTTAGAAAGTCTTACTTATGAATTTAATTTGTGAATTATTACAGTGCAATTTTTAAAATATGTGCCTTATTATAATAACATTGTCTTATGTACTAAGTATAAGTAATTGTCAAAAAGTTCATGAAAATTGGGGCTCAGTAGCCTCACGGCTAAAGTCCTCACCTTAAACACACAGGGATACCATATGGACGCTGGTTCGTATCCCCGTTGCTCCACTTCCCATCCAGCTCCTTGCTTGTAGCCTGGGGAAGCAGTTGAGAACAGCCCAAAGCCTTGGAACCCTGCACCCACATGGGAGACCCAGAGGAGGTTCCTGGCTCCTGACCTCAGATTGGCTCGGCTCCAGCCGCTGTGGTCACTTGGGGAGTGAATCATCAGACAGAGGAGGATCTTCCTCTCTGTATATCTGCCTTTCCAATAAAAATAAATTTTTTTTTTAAATTTCATGAAAATTGTGTATTATGAAGAAAATTATACATAGGTACATACCTAAATAAAGCAACTTTTCCATGAACTTTGGAAGACCTTCATAACTTACTTTAGTCATTTAGAGAGCTATAAATTATCCTAAGGTAAATTATGCGTTTCTTAAAGATTTCACTAGGAAATTCAAAGGAAATTTTCATGTGTTCAGCTTTTACTAGGTGATATTAAAAATGCAGATTTAACTAGAGTTCCCTTCTATATTAAAAATTAGAAAAGCAGAATGAAAATGAACTAGTAAAATTTTGTTTTAAAAAATCTTTAAAAGGGGGCCCGGCGCGGTGGTGCAAGTGGTTAAAGGTCCTCGCCTTGCACACCCAGGATCCCATATGGGCGCCGGTTCTAATCCTGGCAGCCCCGCTTCCCTTCCAGCTCCCTGCCTGTGGCCTGGGAAAGCAGTCGAGGACGGCCCAAAGCTTTGGGACCCTGCACCCATGTGGGAGACCCGGAAGAGGCTCCTGGCTTCAGATCGGCATAGCATCGGCTGTTGCGCTCACTTGGGGAGTGAATCATCGGATGGAAGATCTTCCTCTCTGTCTCTCCTCTCTGTATATCCGCCTTTCCAATGAAAAAATAATAAAAATAAATCTTTAAAAAAAAAATCTTTAAAAGAAACATTAAGAAAAAAACAAAATTATAAGTAGGGATGGTCTTTGGTATCATTTGTATGCTAAACAACAGACTATTAGATAATAACTTGAAGTAATTATTAATCTATAATTATTTACTAGGAAGGTATACAATATATTTTTTAAAGATTTATTTGTTTTTGTTGGAAAGCCAGGCTCCCCATGTGGCCGCAATGGCTGGAGCTGAGCCAATCAGGAGCCAGGAGCATCTTCCGGGTCTCCTACATGGGTGCAGGGTCCCAAGGCTGTGGGCCATCCTCCAGCCTTCCCAGGCTGCAAGCAGGGAGCTGGATTTGAAATGAAGCAACTGGGATACAAACCAGCATCCATATGTTATCCCGGTGTATTTAAGGCGAGGACTTTAACTGCTAGGCTACTGCACTGGGCCCAATACAATGTATTTTAAGAGTGGTAAAGCAAGTTTATTGCATTATTTATAACATCTCTACAGATATTGAGATGGAAGTAGTCAGGGAAAAGTAAGGAGTGGAGTAGATCTAGATAGGTAACATTTACTGTGTTTTGTTTTGTTTGAAAGGAAGTTTTATAGTGAGAAGGAAAAAACAGAAAGAGCTTCTATGCATTGATTTACTCTGCAATGGCCACAACAGCTGGAGCTGAGCTGATCTGGAGCCAGGAGCCCCCTCAGAGTCTCCTGCATGGATGCAGGGGCCCAAGGAAAATGAGCCATTCTCCATTGCTTTCCAGTCCACAGACAGGGAGCTGGATGGGAAGTGAAACAGCTGGGACAAAAACCAGCACCCACATGGCATGCTGGCACTTAATGCTGGAGGATTTGCCAGTTGAGCCACCATAGCAGCCCCGGAACATTGAATTTTTAAGGATTATTTGTTGGTTGCAAGGCAGTTCATAGAAGTATCCCCGTCACTGTTTCATTCCTCAGATTCCCATGGCAGCTGGGCCTGCGGCCTGGAACTCTCAGTTCAGGCCTCGGGACACACCTGGGAGAAGGGACCTAACCACTAGACCTATTAGAATTGTCTGGAACTGGAAACAATACTCAGACACTCCAATATCGGAAGCAAGCCTGCCCATAGAAGAGGACTTTTTTAAAGCGTTTCTCGGGCTTTTGTACTTAGAGGCCTTTGTTTTAGAACAGTGTGCCGGGGCCAGTGTTGTGGCTTAGTAGGGTAAGCCACTGCTTGGAACTGGGGTAGACTCTGATATCCATATGCAGTCACTGGCTTGAGACCTGGCTCTGCTCCATTTGGGATCCAGCTGCCTACTAATCCTCCTAGAAGAGCAGCATGATGAGCCAAATGTGTGCACTGCTGTCTCTCCGGTGGGAAACCTGATGATGAGGCTGCAGGTTCCCGGGGCCCAGCTCAGCCCCCGTGTGGCTTCTGTGGCTATTTCAAAAGTGAACTGACAGATGAAAGATCTCTCCTTGTTCCTTGTTCCTAGTTTTGTTACATTGATTTTCAAATAAAATAAATCTTTTCAAATAAATTAATTTTTAAAAATGTATATTAAGGGCCCAGTGTGCTGGCCTAGTGGCTAAAGTCCTCACCTTGCATGCACCAGGATCCCATGTGGGTGCCTGTTCCAATCACAGCACACTTCTTCCCATCCAGCTCCCTGCTTGTAGGATGGCCCAAAGCTTTGGGTCCCTGCACCCATGTGGGAGACCAGGAGGAAGTTCCTAGCTCCTGGCTTCTGATCACCTCAGCTCCTCTTTATGGCTCATGTGACCACTTGGGGAATGAATCAATGGACAGAAGATCTTCTCTGTCTCTCCTCTCTGTATATCTGACTTTGCAATTAAAAATAAGTAAATTTTTTTAAAAAGACATTGAACAATCTTACCAGTTGACATAGTGTAAGATAAAGTGCCTTTTTGAAAATGTTTAGCAAAAGTGTATCAGTATGGTATTAAGTTGGCTTAAGATTTTTTGCTGTGTATTCTAGAGTTGTTTGGTAAATCATTTTGTCAATCTAGTAATTCATTTATAGCAAATACGCTAATGATAGAGCTGTTTCACAAGAAAAAATGGGAAGGATTTCTGTGTGGCTGTGTGACTGCTTATCGGAGGTGCCGGAAGCAGGTTGTAATTCCCATCTAGTTTCCTGAGGCCTGGCCTGGCTGAGCAGTAACTTGGTTTTATGGCTTCTGCACGTTAGTCTCTTTGCTGTTCCTGATGATCTGTGGAAATCTTTTTGGTTATAAAATCACATTTGACAGTTTAAGGCTGCCATAATTTGTGGCTTTAAAAATGTGTGTTTTGTTCCCACGCAGGCCGAATACATCAAGCAATGGTAACATCTTTAAATGAGGACAATGAAAGTGTAACTGTGGAATGGATAGAAAACGGGGATACGAAAGGCAAGGAGGTACGAGCCGTGGCGGACCTGCTTCCGTACCCAGTCAGGAAAGCACAAAGCATCTCTATGTAATATCTGTATTCTTAATCAGCTCTTGAAAAGTTTGAAATGATTAAACTTTTTCACTCAGCATCCTCTGTGCATGCCTTATATAATTTCACATGTCAGATGTTTTAACTGGAAAATGTTGATACTGTAACGGTCAATTATATGGTTCTGCTCATCTGTTGTTGCCAATTTATATACTGCACTCCACGCTGTTGTAAGAGATTTTAAATATATGCTGGGCAGTGCCATTCGTTAAGCTGAATTCATTTAAGAGTTGTTCTGTTCAGATTTGTTTCAAAAATGAAAGGTTAATTTGTCAGAATTCTCCTGTAATATTTTTTTTTAAACAGATTGACCTGGAAAGCATCTTCTCCCTTAACCCTGACCTCGTCCCTGATGAAGACATTGAACCCAGTCCGGAAGTCCCTCCACCTCCAACAGCCTCGGCCAAAGTAAACAAAATCGTAAAGGTTGGTGATGATACTCGGAGGAAGGAGTGTGTGTGTGTGTGCATGGCTTTGGTAGTGATGTGGTGTGCAGAGCAATTTAAGTATTGATGTGTGTGCTTTATTTAAAAAGAGGAATATTTGGGATCAGCATTGTGGCATAGCACAGTAAGCCACCATCTGCAAGGCCAACATTTCATGTGGAAGCTGGTTAATATCCCTACTACTCCTCTTTTTTTTTTTTTTAAAGATTTATTTATTTTAATTGAAAGGCAAATTTATAGAAAGGAGAGGCAGAGAAAGATCTTGCTGGTTCAATCCCCACGTGGCCGCTATGGCCAGAGCTAAGCTTATGAGAAGCCAGGAGACTCTTCTGGGTCTCCCATGCAAGTGCAGGATCCCAAGACTTTGGGCCGTCTTCGACTGCTTTCCCAGGCCACAGGCAGGGAGCTGAATGGGAAACAGGGATCATGGCGCATACAAGGCAAGGATTTAGCCACTAGGCCGTTGCTCCAGACCCAACTGCTGCTCCTCTAATCCAGCTTCCTACTAATGCAGCAGACAATGGCCCTGATGGATAGGCCCTGCCGTCTACATAGGAGACCCGGCCTAACCCAGCCATGGCTGTTGCATGTAGGCTTTTCCAGAGTAAAGTAGCAGAAGGAAGATCGCTGCTTCTCAATAGATCCTTAAAAAATGTAAAAGAAAACTAGTTCTTTCTGTCATCCTGGTGTATGTGGAAAAACTCCACACCTGACCTCTTGTCATGATCAGAACACCAGTGTATGTAAAAACGTTGGATAAAATTAATACTATCAAATTATATTTATGAGGCCTAAATGAATTGTATTAGTGCTTTTTAAAAATTTATTTATATTTGCAGTTGACAGATGTACAAAGGAAAGGACAGCTTCTCCCTGGAGTAGATGCACAGAAGCAGTGAGCTAGCTGGGGGTGCGAAATAACCGCGGCAGGCCAGGGCGGGGGCTCGGGAGGCTCCTCCTCCTCCCGCCAGCCTCAGCATCGCACACGGGCCCTGGTTCATGTTCCACCTGCTCCATTTCCCATCCAGCTTCCTTCTTGTGACCTGGGAAAGCAATGGAGAATGGCTCAAGTCTTGGGACCCCTGCACCCATGTGGGAGGCCCCCCAAAAGTTGCTGGCTCCTGACTTCGGAGCAGCTGAGCTCCGGCTGTTGCAGCCACTTGAGGAGTGAACCAGCAGATGGAAGAGCTCTGAGCTGTCTCTCCTTCTGTCTGTAAATCTGCCTTTCAAATAAAAATACTTCCATACATCTTTTCGAAAAAGAAAAAACAAGCTGAAATCGTGATAAATGTAAGTGTGACGTATGAAGAGATGAAAAGCAAGCACTTTTTTTTTTTTCTTGTTTAGAATCGGCGGACTGTGGCTTCTATTAAAAATGACCCTCCTCCAAGAGATAACAGAGGTAAAGTAATCATTTATCTCAGTGTTGCCTGTTCTTGTAAGTTTCTAATGAAGTAAATCACAAGTGAATACTGGGACAAGCGTGTGGCACAGCAGGTCTAATGTTAGTATCTCTCTACTTCCTTTCTGCTGCCCGCCTTCTTCTCTCTTTCTCTTGACCTTTCAAAGAAATAAAAGTAAGTTTAAAAACTTGCTTAATGGGGCCAGCATGATAGCTCAACTGGGCAACCCTCCACCTCCAAGTGTGGCATCCCATATGAGTACCAGTTCATGTGCTGGCTGCTCCGGTTCCCATGCAGCTTCCTGCCTGTGGCCTGGGAAAGCAGTAGAGGACGACCCAGGTCCTTGGGACCCTGCACTCATGTGGGAGACCCAGAAGAATCTCCTGGTTCCTGGCTTCTGATTGATTTAGTTCTGGCGTTTGCAGCCATTTGGGGAGTGAACCAGTGGATAGAAGATCTTCCTCTCTGTCTCTGCTCTCTGTAAATCTGCTTTTCCAATAAAAACAAATAATCATTTTTTTAAAAAAAAATGCCCTTAAAACACCCCTAGTGATGTTATTAATTTAAATTTGGTGGGACTCATTTTAAGATGTTATTTCTTCTTGATTTAGTAATGCAGTGGCATTCATACAAATGACCTGAAAACGTGTCATGAGTCTAAACCCCATAAAATGTAGGTTTTTTTTTAATTGTAATCATTAATTTTATTTTGCTCATAGTGTTGTGTATTTGGAGAGAAGTGATGGGGAAGGAAGCAGTTGACCGATTTCACGATTATTGAGCACCATGTTTTCTTTGATGTTCTGGAGAAGGTGGTTATGTTCCGAAGCAGCTCGGAGAGTTCCTGATTAACCACCAGCCTCGTGTTCTCTTACATAGCTGCAGCCGGAAGGTGTAGAGCAGGAATGTTCTCCCTGCTGGCATCCAGGGTTGCCTTCCCGATGCTGTCGGTTGGTGTGCCGGCTGGCAGGGATAAAGGCGGGGGACAACGTTTGTGCTCTTGAATCATGCATTTCTTTAAACATTTGCTGTTTATATTCTTCTTGGTTCCTTTTTCCAATTTTATCACACCTACATTGGGAAGGTTTCTACTGAAGATTTGTGTATTTTGAGGGGCAGAGAATGAGATTTGGAAAGTAAGGGTCAGTGAAGGCATTTTCAGATTGACAGTGTGTACATCTGAACAGCGTAAATGTTTCGATCTGAGAATCTGTTTAAATTCATGTTTTATGCATAGCATTTTAAGGAGATCGTTTTTCATCGTGAAGTAATGAAAAAGTTCGTAGTCATAACTGTTGTTGTTAAAAATCGTTTTCTGTTGGTTATGTACGTTATTCAGGTTGCATTGTATAGCTGGAGTTACGTTGAATGGAGCTGATTCTGCACATAGTACCTTGAAAACTGCTTGTAGCTTATGTCCGTGTATTAGGAATTTCATATATTCCCTGTTAAGGCATACAGAAGTGGAAAATTCGGCAACTTAATAGTGTAGCATTTACATTTCGGGTCTTTTTGAGGTGTGTCTTCTTTTTACCAAGGCCAGTTTTTGCTAATCTTTTTTTTTTAATTTGAATGCTTTTCACACACAGTGGTTGGTTCTGCACGTGCCCGGCCCACTCAGCTGCCTGAGCAGTCCGCCTCTGCACAACAGAATGGTAGTGTTTCCGATATCTCTCCAGTTCAAGCTGCAAAAAAGGAATTTGGACCCCCTTGTATGTAAATTATGTATCAAAGATTCAGTCACTTTAGGCATACATGTATTCTCTCTTGGTCATCCTTATGTCTAAGTCCCCTGGTGGTAAAGTCTGATTCACAAACTGGATTGTGGATTTTGTTTTATACAATTATGAAACATTTTCTGTTTTTGTCTGACTACTTTAGTCTGCTAATTGAATTTTCAAATCTGTCTTGGAGAAAAAAGAAAAAATTAAACGTAAAATTGGCAGTGTCTCGCTAGCTTTGGATTTAGAATTCTGGCCAGATGAAAACCTTGTGGATCTTGATCCTATCAATTGCAAGATCCGTGACCCTAAACCAAGAGATGACATGTATCAGTATGGTTGAGTCATTTTTTCTTGACTCTTCATTTGTATCTTGTCCTGTGGCCACATTTGTTCAAAGCAGCTCATCAGTAAGCTCATGTCATCACTGCAGGCATGCTTCGTCACTGTGTCCTTTTTTTGCTGTATGTGGTAAAGTAATACATAAAATGTTCATAAAAAGTGCAGTATCCTAAAGGGAAAGCTATACTTGTCCTTCTATAGCTCATCTTTTCTTTTTTTTTTTTAAGCACGTAGGAAATCTAATTGTGTGAAAGAAGTAGAAAAATTACAAGAAAAACGAGAAAAAAGGAGACTGCAACAGCAAGAACTTAGAGAAAAAAGAGCCCAGGTATGTAGCATAAATGTATATTTTGTTTTGTTCCTGCATCAGGCAAAGGTGATGCTATCAATGAAAGTGACGTGAATCGAATCATAAAGTAGTTGAGAGATGTACTTAAAGAACTTTCTTTAGGGGCCATAGTAGGCCAACCAGCTCCCCGATTATGGCCTGGGCAGAAAGCAGAGCATGGCTCAAGTCCTTGGACCCTGCTCTCACCCGGGAGAAGAAACTCCATGGTTAGTAAATTTGACACATCATAGGAAGAAAGAAAGAAATTCTTGATTTCAGATTTGTACTGGATAACGAGAGGTGATCTCCATTGTGCTCCTGAAGAATTTCCTTTTGGTGGTAGTACAAATTTTAACTGGGTTTTTAATCCTTTGAAGGTCTTTTCATAGTAGAAATTTTGTTGTTCATATAACTCCTCCATCTGTGCATACTGTTTCCCATAGTAAAACAACAGGTTATTAGTCTAGTAGCATGTTCAAATGCCCTTAACCAAGCCAGCCCACCAGGTCACAGGTTTTGCTAATCAGTTGTGTACCCAGTGTTCTGTTGAGCCTGAGTCAGTGTGTGCAGTAGGGATCCACCGGAACAGCACAGGTGCCACCTGCTGCTTCTTCCGAGTACTGCATCATACATCTCACTTCTCTGAGTCTCACTTCTGCTTTTCCAAGGCCATGGTTAAAATGATTTCACAGAGCAGAATTAAAAGTAAGTTTCAGTAATGATAATGAGGTTAAATTACATTCACAGGAAGGCTGTTTATGTGTTTTTTAAAAAATAGAACTTCTGTTCAGTAGTTTTTCATTCATGACCAGGAGAAGCTATTAACTGTTACTGTCTAACTTACTAATATATTCTCTTAGCTTGGAATTCGAGAATTAAATTGTACTCAGCATTTAGTGACTTTAGTTTTAAAAAATTATTTTGCATTTGCTTCTTTAAGTTTTGTGTCCTAATGCTTTAGGGCTATTTCACCATGCCAGATTGATTGATTGATTGATTGATTTTTTTCTTCAGAGATTCAACAAAAGCAGAAAGTGTCTGTAACCAGATATCTGTCTCTGCTTTGCTCAAACACTGATTTATGAAATTGAGAAAAGACTGATTAATTTCTCTAGAATTTCAGCTTTTCCAGAGTCCTTTGCCAGTTGTTTTAAATGGGAGCTATTTCTCTTTCCCTCCACTGTCTATTTCAAGTATTATCTATTTGAAAGGCAAAGTTTAAAGACATGCCTTCCATGTGTTTGTTCACTGCCCAGATGGCTGCAATGGCCAGGGCTGGGTTAGGTTAGAACTAGGAAACATAGGCCCAGCATGATATCCTAGTGGCTAAAGTCCTTACCTTGCATGCGCAGGGATCCCGTATGGGTGCTGCTTCATGTCGTGGGTGCGCCACTTCCCATCCAGCTCCCTGCTTGTGATCTGGGAAAGAAGTTAAGGATGGCCCAAAGCTTTGGGATCCTGAGCCCTTATGGGAGACCCTGGAGGCACTCCTGGCTTCAGATCAGCTCAGCACCAGCCATTGTGGTTACTTGGGGAGTGAACCAATGAATGGAAGATCTTTCTCTCTGTCTCTCCTTCTCTATATAAATCTGGCTTTCCAAAAGAAATAAATAAATAAAACAACTAGGAAGCATAGCATTTCATAAAGGCCTCCCTGATAGGCACAGGAGTCCCGAGGCTTGGGCCAGCTTCCACTGCCTCTCAGGTGCACGAGCAGGGAGCTGGAACAGAAGCAGAGCAGCCAGGACTCAAGCTAAGGACCCTGTGAGACACAATGCTGGTTTTGGAGATGTCAGTTTAACCCACAAAAGAGGTTTAGCCCCTCTTTCTTCATTTTTCTAGAAAAATTAAGGCGTATATGTAACAGGCTCCTGGAAAAATTAAGGGGTGGCTTTAATGAGAAACCTTTGAGTTAGAGTTATCAATGCGTGCAGACTAATGGGATTGTGCAGACTAATGGGATTGTGCTTTGCGTCTGAATATAATCCTGAGCATGATTAAAATGGGTCATTTCTCCAGTTTGAATTTGGGGTTCATTATGACAAATACCACAATTTGTTTTAATTTTTGAACCATATGTATAACAGATGCAACATACACAATGCTATAATCACTGTATTCTGTTTTCTAATAGGATGTTGATGCTACAAATCCAAACTATGAGATCATGTGCATGATCAGAGACTTCAGAGGAAGTTTGGATTATAGGCCTTTAACAACAGCGGATCCTGTAAGAGTCTTTGTGAACCATTGCTTTGTTTTGTTTTTCTCTCCAAATAACCGCTTGGATTTTATACCCATTAAGTTTATATTGTTATTAGTTAGTTCATTTTCCCCTGTCCAATGGGTGTTCTCTCCAAGAAAACAGCACTTGCATGTTCATCTCCTGTGATTTGCTGTATTATAGTGTAATGGGGCTCTTTTCAGAGCAGAGTCCCCTTTTGGAAGGGCAGAGCAACTAAAGAGACACATGTCGGAAAAGCCATATTCCTTCCCAACCACACCTGACTTCATCCAAGCTCCAAGCATGTTTCCCCTTCGGCTTGGACTGCAGAGCCCGCCATCACTCCTGTTTGTTGTTAGTTAATTCATTACTTGAAATAAATGCCTTTCTAACTCTTAAGAAATGATGAACCAAAAACTTGCTGGAAAATGTTCTCACTTATTAGTCCATCTCCTTTTCTACTGAAGAATGAGGATTAAGTACACAGGGAATATTAACTGTGAATAATTGATACAACAATCCACCTTGCCTAGCGTCTGATGCACGTTAGTTAGCAGAAATACATCTGTGCTAGGCAGGTGTTAGGATTTAATAGAATTGTTGACACTCACTTAAATAAAATACCTGTTTTTCTAGATTGATGAACACAGGATATGTGTTTGTGTGAGAAAACGACCACTCAATAAAAAAGGTATGAAACTCGTTAAGCTATACCACTCATACTATATTTTGATAACAGCACAAATCAGATTGGTTTGGAAAAGTTAAAATGTTAAAATGTTAAAATGTTAAATGTTAAATGTTAAAATGTTAGGTTCTTTCGTTTTTCAGTGACGTGCGTGTTGCTGTGGCTGGACCTCTTTGTTAGTGCTTTGAATCGCCATTCATAGTTCTTGCTTCACAAAACTCTAGACTTTTTTTTTTTGTTTGTTATTGAAATACTCTGTCTTATTGAATGAGGTATTTATACTTACAGGTCTTACTATTTTTATTTTGAATTCACCTTAAAGAAGTTTTGTATATGAAGTCAAATGCTGTGAGGGTTACTGAACATTGATTTTCATTTATTCTTTTAGAAACTCAAATGAAAGATCTTGACGTGATCACAATCCCTAGTAAAGATGTCGTGATGGTGCATGAACCGAAACAAAAGGTAGATTTAACACGGTACCTGGAAAACCAAACGTTTCGTTTTGATTATGCCTTTGACGACTCAGCTCCTAATGAAATGGTTTACAGGTAGGTACATTTGTTTTAAATCAGAATCTTGGTTTCCTGCTGAAACTTAATGTTTCTCTTAGTGTGGTTCTCTGCACGTGTAATAGGTTTCTTCATTCTGATGTTAAATAGAAGAAAATGTAGTGATGCTATAATGAATATTAATAGTTACTGTTTGTCATAAAACTCCAAATCAGTTTTTTTGATTGATCATGTGGGAAGCTTCACTTGAGTTTCAGGGACTTGGGCCTTTGGGGATGAACAAGAAGATAGAAGAGATCTCTCTCTTCTGACTCTCAAATACAGGAACTTTTTTAAATGTTTTTCATACAGAGTTAAGAACATGAAGATTGCTCCTGCCACGTGTTCAGCTTCATCCACATGGGCAGTTAGCCGCTCTCTGTGGATGTATTTTCTTATTTGAGAATAACCCAAAGATTTGGTTGTAAATAAAGAGAGAGAGAGCATAATGATACTTGCCTATTCACCCTACACTTCCCTTCTTGTTCCCATTTTTCTAGTTTTTTACAGTGACATACTTTCAGTCTGGTTTATAATCATAACCTAAACCCACCACCAAACAAATGATTCAACAGGTAGTAATTAGAAAAACCACTGTTACTTTATAAAATTGTAAGAAAACCAACAACCGAATGAAATACCAACTTCCCTGGGCTTTGCCAGGAAAGGGGGAGGTCAGTGACAAACAGAAGATCACAGAATTGGTGTCTGCCTGGCCCGGGAAGGTGAGGAACGCAGTGAAGAGTTAGGGATTTGTCATTGTACCCTGCGGGATTTGTAGTCACTGAGAAGGGTGCTGTCTCTCCGTCCTCCCGGCTCTGTCCTAGAAAATGTCAGTGTGTTTGACTTTCCTACTGGTTTTCAAGACCAGATCTGAGGACGGGAGCCAGGAGCCAGGATCTGGTCTGCTCTGGCCATTATGGCCACTTGGGGAGTAAACTAGCAGATGGAGGATCTTTCTGTCCCTGTAAATCTGCCTTTCCAATAAGAATAAATAAGTCTTTGGGGGGAAAAAACAGGGAAGCCATGTAATAATATTCTACTTGTAGGTTTGTTTTGTATTGTACTTGTCAGTGCTCTGTATGGTGAAGTTGTATTTCTTTTCCCTGTGCACCTTTTTCTCTCAATTCTAATGGTGGATTAAACAAATTTGCTCACAGGTAATCATCATAATACATAGTTATCCTTTTGTTGAGTCAGAATTGTCAAATCAGACCTTTCATCAGACCTTTTGATCTTAGCCAAAAGGTCAAGAAGCAATAGATTCCATATCCTATAAGCATAATTTATGTTGTTTTCCTTAAGTGTAAATTTTCATGTCTACATTCAAGATCATCCTCACTTTTCTACTGATTGAGAATACCTAAACATAATATTTTTATAGATTCCTCCTTGACTATTTTTTCTCTGTTGGCTAATGACCACTCTGGGAATTAGCATTTGGCACCGCAAGCTGATGCCACTTCTCGGGATATGCGCATGCCCTATCACAGTGCTTGGTTTGAGTGCCAGTTCCTCTGCTTGCTATCTGCCTTCTTTCCAATGCATCCTAAAGGCAGCGGATGACGGCTCCAAGTGGTTGGGTCCCTGCCACCCACATGGGATACATAGATTGAGTTTGGGCTTGTAACTTCAGCCTGGCCTACACTTGGGTTTTGCGAACAGTGTGGGGCCTGGCACCCTAGTGGGAAACTGGATGAAGCTCCTGGCTCTTGGCTTCAACCTGGCTCAGCCTTCGCCGTTGCAGCTGTTTGTTGAATGAACCAGTGCATGGAATCTCTTCCTCTGTCTTTCTGCCTTTTGAATGAAATGAAAAGTAAATTTTTGAAGTAATTACTATACTTTGATTCTGTTTCTGTCAGAATTGTAATTGATACTTGTAGTTTTTTGTTGTTGTTGTTTTGACATCATTATTAGTGTGGACATTCTTTGGAAACTATACTATAAAACTTAAGTAGCTTTTAGCAGTTGTATTAGAAGATAGGTTTATTTTTGTGCAAAAGTTCTGATATTTTCTTTTGAACATTTTGAAAAGATACTTCATGTATGTGGGCTCAAAATTTCTTACACCAAAATAAGTTTACTTTTTTTTTTTTAAGGTTTATTTGATTATTTAGAAGGCAGAGTTGCTGAGGTGACAAGGGAGCAGCAGAAGCAGAGCAAGCTCGTTTCCCATATAGTGCCACAGTGGCCAGAGTGGGGCCAGCTGGGGGCCAGGAACTTCACCAGCTTTCCCACCTGTGTGAAGGTGCCCGTGTGGGCCACTCTTCCCTGCCTTTCCCAAGCACGTAAACATTGGACGTGGAGGAGCTGGGACTCAGACCTCTTCCCATATGAGATGCCAGCGCAATAGGTGGCAGCCCTACCCACTATGCCAATAAAGTTGCTTTTTGAATTCCATTTTCCACGAACGTTTTGAAATACCCCTGTGAAGTTATTTAAATTTTTCATGAAGATTTGTTTAAAAATTTGTCATAAGTTTTATTAATAATGAACTTTGTTATTAGCTGTAACTTTCCTATTTTTTTTAAACTGTCAGCATGTTCTGAGTGCTGGATTTTATTTTGAAGGTTTACTGCTAGACCACTGGTGGAAACTATATTCGAAAGGGGAATGGCTACGTGCTTTGCTTATGGGCAGACTGGAAGTGGAAAAACTCATGTAAGTAATGTATTCAGGTTACGTCCTGGTGTGGAGCTGCACTTTCTGTCCCTTACAGCTCGCTTCTGAGATCTCAACACTTGCTCCTGAATAATAGCTGTTATTCTTTATTCTCTTTTTAAAATACAGACTATGGGTGGTGACTTTTCAGGAAAGAATCAAGACTGTTCTAAAGGAATTTATGCATTAGCAGGTAATTGTCCTTTTCATATAGTTTATAACATTCTTGGATATTATTCCAGCAGCTATATGCTGTAGTCAGTATTTATGATGTCGTTTTTAGGTTTTCAGTTGCTCACAAGGAACTGTTAGTTTTGGAGGACAGAAATCTTGACTATATGAGGGCACTTCACAAAGTTCATGGAAAAATGCATTTTATGACAAGACTAGGTATACATTTCAAACAACTTTCTTTAAAACATTGACTTCATTTATTTGAAAGGCAGAGTTAGAGAGAAAGAGAGCTCCTCCATCCATCCTCTGTTCCACCTCACAATGGCTGCAGCAGGTGGGGCCACGGGAGGTCACAGCCGGGACTTCCATCCCACTTCCCACGCTGGTGCACAGGGGCCCGAGGACACAGCCCAGAGCACACTGTTTTCTCAAGCACATTAGTAGGGAGCTGGTTTGGAAGCAGAGCGTGGGATGCCTATGATAGGTGGCAGCTTAACCCATTATACCTCAACCCCAGCCCAAGGATAAAAATTTTGTGCCAGAATAAACACCATTTTATTCCATTTTCCATGAAATTTTTGAGTCCTCTAAACTCTTTTTGTTAGTGTGTAGTCTGGTACATTTGGTGGAGATTACTTTTAATCGTTTGGTGGCTAAGCTATAAAAAGGTTCCATTTGCTGTATTTGATGTGTCTTAATAGTTTCCTGTATATGACGTTTTTGACAGCTCGAGATGTCTTTTTAATGCTCAAGAAGCCGAACTATAAGAAGCTAGAACTTCAAGTATATGCAACCTTTTTTGAAATTTACAGTGGAAAGGTAAGGGGAAATTTTTAATTTTAGCTTTTGTAGTAAACTAGACAACAGTATAAGATGTGCCCACGTTTACTGCTTCTAAGGGTGTTTTCACTCAGCGGCATGTACTTTATTCACTGTGCTTTGCAGCCCTCATGATGGCAGATGTTTTGTTTTACTTACTTATTTGTTTAAAAGGCAGAGCAACAAAGAGGGAGAGACGGAAAAAGAGGTGAAGAGCAAGGTCCTGTCTGCTGACTCGCAGCCCAAGTAGCTGCCGTGGCAGGGTCTGGGGCAGGGCAGAGCCAGGGGCCGACACCTCCGAGTCCCCTGCTGTGGGCAGTGGGTGCTCAGGTGGATGGGCTGTCTTCTCTGCCATTCCACGCACGTTTCAAGAAGCTGGATAGGAAACAGAGTTGGCGGGACTCGGGTAGCAGCACTCTGACAAGCGGCCAGTCTCTGGCCATGCCACGACACTCACCCCACAGAGATGTTTCCTGTGTATCTGGAATGTTCTCTTAGAATTTACGTCGTGAGTTTGCTGTGTTAATGAGCATTAAGAGTCTTCAAACTCATTAAGTGTTATTATTGTGATATTATTTTTGTTGGTGAAATGTTTCCTCTGGTGATTGAGTTTAATTTGAATATGGCTTTTCACAGGTATTTGACCTGCTAAATAGGAAAACAAAATTAAGAGTTCTGGAAGATGGAAAGCAGCAGGTTCAAGTGGTAGGATTACAGGAACGTGAGGTCAAATGTGTTGAAGATGTTCTGAAACTCATTGACATAGGCAACAGCTGCAGGTAAACCTCATTTTGATTAAGAAAGGGAAGTTTCAGTTTATTTTTAGTATTACTTTTTTATTGGAAAATCAGATAGAGAGGAAGATCTTCTGTCCACTGATCCACTCCTCTCAGTGTGTCTGACTTTCCAATTAAATTAATAAAAAAAAAGAAAACAAACAAACAAAAAAACCAGATAAGTTCTTTAACATGGTTTGTGTGGGTTGGAAATAAAAATCATTATAAATTTTTGTGTTACATATAGATTTGAGTGACATCTGTTGTGCTGATACCATACTCGCTAATGTATTTCAAGTTTGCCGGGTGTGTGTGTGTGTGTATCTTGAATCTGGCTATACCAAGTGTCTCTTCTGTATTTAATGCTTAACATTGACTAAATTGTGGGGGAAGGATGTGTTGCTTTTTATTCTAACAAAACTATCATGCTTTGGACAAGTAAATGAAAGCCTTTGTGTAACAAGATGTCCTTGATTGCGTTGTAGAACATCTGGTCAGACATCTGCAAATGCGCATTCATCTCGGAGCCATGCAGTGTTCCAGATTATTCTGAGAAGGAAAGGAAAACTACATGGCAAATTTTCTCTCATTGACTTGGCTGGAAACGAAAGAGGAGCCGACACCTCCAGTGCGGACAGGCAGACCAGGCTGGAAGGTGCTGAGATTAATAAGAGCCTTTTAGCACTCAAGGTGAGGACAGCGCACTCAGTCCTGAAGGATCTCGCACTGTTGACTTGAATTTCATTTATTCAAGTGCAAAATAGTTTTACCTTAAAAAAGAGGTTTAAAATTCACTCTGTTTGCCCTTGACAGTTTTAGATTTTAGTCTACCTAGTTGTCATTTGTGCACATTGTATTTCTTCCTTTACCATGGGAAAAAAAAAAAAAACACAAGGTTAAAAAAAAAACACAATAATTCATTCTTTGCACTTATTTTTATTTGAAAGACAGAGCTACAAAGAGGAGAGATTGGGAGTGGCCTTAACAGCTGGATCTAAGCTGATCCAAAGGCAGGAACCAGACCTTCTTCTGGGTCTTCCACATGGATGCAAGATGCCAAGGGCTTGAGCCATCCTCCGCTGCTTTCCCAGGCTGCAAGCAGGGAGCTGGATGGCAAGTGGAGCAGCTTGGACATAAGTGGCATCCATATGGAATGCCAGTGCCATAAGTTGGGGCATAGCCCAGTATGCCAAAGTGCCATTTTCAAAATTTAGTTGTTTATAGTTAATCCTACTGCTTGTCACTTTTAAAAAGGTTTAGACAGTCATAATTTCCAGGATTATCCTTTGGAATTGTAAAGTTGGTTTGTTATTCACTTTATTAACATCTTTAAAATGTTGTAAAACTGCTTTTCTATTTTCAGAGCTGGCCAGACCTTCAGTGTTAAAAGTTAGAGCAATAAGGTTGTTAAGTTCATTAGGATTTCTCTTGGTTAAGACAGTCTAATCTGTGAGGCTTGCTTGCCTGTTTTGCAGGAGTGCATCCGAGCCTTAGGTAGAAATAAACCTCACACTCCTTTCCGGGCGAGTAAACTCACTCAGGTGTTAAGGGACTCCTTCATAGGCGAAAACTCCCGGACCTGCATGGTGAGTTCGTGCTTGTCGTTTTTACTTGTTTCTTTTTTTTTTTTTTTATTGTTAATAATATTGTATTATGTGATACAGTTTTATACGCACTGGGATTCCCCCTACCCCTCTCACAACCCTACCCCCATGGTGGATTCCTCCACCTTGCTGCATATTCACAGTTGAAGTTCAATTGGGATTCATTCATTGCAAGCATATACCTAGCATAGAGTTCAACAGCTTGTTTCATTTTAATCCTGAAGAAAGAACTACCTGGTATTTGCAGAAAGTCATGAAGTGTCTCAATGGCAACAACTTGATTTCTCCTTGTGAGGAATACAGTAGCGTTTTAAGATGCGGTGCCTGGTCCATCCAGTAGAGGATGGTGTGGCGGCTACAGCGCGTGCTGCCACTAACAGGCCGCAAAGGCTGGGTGTCCGGCCGTCCCGCAGGCTGCTTCCTTCTAGATGTTCATTGAACTTTTCAGCTGGAGTTGATGATTGCCTCATGCCTTCAGACAGTTGCTGTGTGTTAACCAGGCTTCATGTTTGTTATCTGATGGTGGGTATGAAATGGCATGTTACAAGTTCAGAAGAACATCACGAGAACTTTAAATACTGTTGTGGGGTTAACAAATAAGTTTTCTAACAGTATTATTGTCTTGCTCATTTATGTTTTCTTAACTTCCAAATCTTCTTCCTAGATTGCCACAATCTCTCCAGGAATGGCATCCTGTGAAAATACTCTCAATACATTAAGATATGCAAATAGGTATGAGAATTGTTTCTTAAGTCTGAAATTCAAGGGACCCAGTATAGCACATAGCATCGTTTAATGTCTTAACTGTGGTGTTCTTTCAATTTTGGGAAAAAGAAAAAAACTTTCGAACTAATCGAGGTAATATTTAGACTCATTTTTGTCCAATTCTAAAAATAAATGGAAATGTGTTTTAAAATTTAGGCAAAGATACAGATATTTTTAGTAAAATTGGTCTTTCTGTCCATTTCAGCAAGTTATATTTTATGATACTTTATTACACTTAAATCAAATAGATTCTTCCTGCTGTATTAACACTCTCAAGCAGGGGGTGGGAAGGCCTTTTTTCTACCAACAGCAATTTGAATATTTATAACTCAAGGTTATCAGCCAGTATAGACTGGTTCAATTTCCAAATCCTGCCTGCAGTCACACAGACCAGACCAAATGCCTTGAGACCACACACTGTTCTTTCCCAGGGGGAGTGGGAACCCTGGGCCGGTCTGCATTCCTTCAGCTGTTCTGGCGTATGCTGGCCATTATTCCCGACACTATGAAATGTTGCGTATCAGGAGTTCAGGAGTCTAGGTCTGAGTCGGGAGTGAACGCGCAGTTCTTTGTGGTGTTCTTGTGTGGTTCACTTCTGTTGCTCCTGTCATTGGAGTTGATGGAAAGAGAAAATGCATCACACAGTAGCGAAGCAGTTTATTCCTTAAACTCATGGAGTATCCTTGGAATTTGGGTTATTTTGTAATTTGGTCTGTAGATTTGTTTTCCCTAATGTTCATGTTTATATAGTTTTAAATTTCTGTTTTCACCTGTTAGCATTTGTGATTTTAATATATAGAGAGATAAAATTATTCGTTACAATGTATTTCTAGTGTAGAGATTTTCTTAATGTTTTTTCCTGTCTCTTTGTTTTAATAATGGAGCTGTATTTTTATTAAAATGTGAAATATACATACATACAGAAAAATATCCAAACCGTAAGTGAATGTAACGAATATTTGAATAGTCACAAGATGGGGAATTCCTGCTGTCACCTTGGGAAATAAAGCCTTAGTCCCCCGTGTCCCCAGCCTTGCTCGCGTGTGTTCCTTCGAGAACACAGACTCTGACCAACAGGACCCAAACCATTCATCTCTGCCCCACAACCATTATTCTCACTTCTTTGGAGCATCTTTCTTTATTTCTTCTCCTTTTAAAACTGATTTTTTATTACCTGTCTATCTGTTCTTGAATGACACTGAGCTATGTTTGGATTTAGCCTAAACTTAGCAAGACAGGCCTTTTAGTTCCTTACACTTCCTGCATTTGCCTCAACAGAAGAGTCTCACAGATAATAAACACTGCTGGAAAGTATAGACCTTTTGTTAAAAACATGTAACATAGCTTCGTTTTAAAAATTTAATTTCTTAAAGTTTGAATTATAAACTTTTAGCTGAAAACTTGTGTTTTTTTTTTTTGATTGTGGGAGTTTTCCATCATTAATGTTAACCAAAGTGCTTATTTTAATATTTTCTGAGGAAGTGAAGGCTTACTAGTAGTAAAATATATTGAAGAATTAAAACAAGCATAAGCCCTCTGTGTTTTAAAATTTCATTTTGCAAAGAATTCCCCCATCATAAAAATGCCGTTCTAGTTGACCATCTCTAATCCACAATGCATGGGCCCAGAAGTGCTTGAGGCGTCAGTGTTTTCCAGATTTGGAACACTTACATACTTACATGTATGTGATGAGATATCTTGGGTTTGGAACCCAGATATCAACATCCATTTATGTTGCATGTACACCCTATACACATAGTTTGGTGGTAATTGTATTTAGTATTTTTAGTGCACATGCACTTTAATGTTGTGACTCATCAGATGAGATCAGATAAGGAACTTTCTGGTTGTGGCATCTGCTCCAAAAATTTTGGATTTTAGGGAGCTGGCACCAGCACTCGATGGGCTGATCCTCCACCTTCAGGTGCCAGCACCCCAGGTGGGCGCTGGTTTGTGTCCCAGCTGTTATAGTTTCCATCCAGCTCCCTTGTGGCCTGGAGTGGCAATAGAGAATGGTCTATAATATTGGGACCCTGCACCCACGTGGAAACCTGGAGGAGGCTCCTGGCTCCTTGCTTCAGATCAGCTCAGAAGATCTTTCTCTCTTTGTCTCCTTGTCTCTGGAAATATGCCTTTCCAATCAAAATAAATAAATGTTTTTAAAAATTTGGAGGGTGGATTTTGGACCTAAGGTATTCAGACTTTTAGAGTAACATGCTCAAATTGTAGCTGTTCCACTGGTTTGTTTGGGTCCAAGGAAAGTGTTTTAACTTACAGAATGTATTTAACTCCATATGTCTAAGAATAAAAGACATTTACCTTCCCTTGACAGTTTCATGCCAATGTTCATAACCTAAGAGTCAATAATTGTATTTTTTTACAACTAAGGAGAATCCACTCCTCTTTAATGTTAAATCTGCCCCATGTTGGATAGTTATGTATTTTGAGATTAAGCTTTATTTATTTTAGGAGATTGTTATCCCTTAAGTCTGTATACCTTGTGTGTCTTTAGAAAGGGGATGTCTATCTTTAAGTGTTCTTGAAGGATGAAGAGATGGTCTGTGTGTAAGGCGTAGCATAGTGCTTAGATGGAGTAAGTGCATTAATCGTTATTGCTGCTGCAGTTTGCTCGTGTGCCTGGGAAGGCAGCAAAAGGTGGCCCGTGTGTTTAGTCCTCTGCCACACACATGGGGTACTTGATGGAATCTGAGCTTTCAGCAACAGTCTGGCCAGGACCCGTTGTTGGGGTCCTTTCGGGAGAGAATGAACAAATGGAAAAGAATCAGTTCTCTTTCTATGAGCAAACAAATAGATAAATCAGATGAGAAAATGGAATATATTAGAGGCAAGTAAAGTACAAAACCTGCAGAAGTAGTAGTTGGTGCACAGAGAAGTAAAACACAGTGAGAAACATGCAGTCACTTCTGTCCTGAAGCATTTGGGGGAAAAAAAAAACAACTTTCATAGTTATTTGATTTTTTAAGGTTTATTTTATTTTATTTGAAAGCAGAGTGACCGGGTTGGTAGAGTGGGGGAGTGGACTTGAGCCATTTTCTGCTACTCTCCTAGGTGCATCAGAGAGCTGGATTAGAATCAGAGCAACCGGGACTTGAACTGGCACCGCACTATATGATGCTTAGTGTGGCGGGCAGCAGGTTAACCCACTATGCCACAGCCTTGGTGCCAGAAACTATAATCTTTTTATAATGGCAGTGATTGGGTCGTGGCTGGAAAAACCACTAAGAATTTTTTAACTGAATATTTGTGGAGTATGATTTCTGAATATAGTTTGGTTTGGCTTGGATAAAAGGATTTGGATATAGGTTGTGTGTGGGTGGAGCTAAAAGAGCATCTAAATTAGGAGATCCTGAGGCAGATAAGAAATGGGGTTGAAAGTTAAGTTAGTATTAAAAGTTTAGTTGTCTTTTTTAAGTGGTAAAGTAAACTTTTCATATTAGTTTATTTTAAAGGATTAAGGGTAGATGAATCTAATATTGAACTTTTGAGAGTTGATATTACCAATAAGCCTTAACTGGAAGATATACTCATCTAAGTTTAATCTATATGGATTCTTATGACTGGCTATTATTGACCTATACAGAATGGAAATCCCATGTAGTCATTCTAAGAAATAAGGAGAAAAAAATTTGGATAGTGTGTTGTAATATTTAAGTAACATCAGACTGGTTCTCAGTAAGGCCTCGTAAGCCACGTTTCTTACTGAGGTGAGGCCTTGGGTAAGCTACTTCATTTCTCTGGATGGTATTCTCATCTTTAAAATGGAGATAATACTTTAAGGTGTTATTAAGACTTCATAATATAATGCCTAAAAATTACCAATCCTGATACCTGGCATACCGTAAGTACTTGGGGAATACCACCTGCTACTTTGAAATGCGGTTGAGCCAGAAAGGACCTAGGGAATCATAGATGGGGTGAGAAAAGTTGTAGTCAGGTTAATTGTAACTAAGAGAGACATAGCAAAAAACAGTTTAAATTCCATCGCTGAAGATCGTTCTCCATCGAGGTTCTTCACCTGAATCACCAACCACAGAGAACTGACTAAGGATGCTGCATAGCTAATCCCATTCTAGAGTATAGGAAACAAATTAACTCATTACATTGAATGTCTGAATAGTCAGAACTTAATTCTCTCATGTCTTTTTTTGTTTGAAAAATATTATAAAAATATTAGGTTGATTAATGCTAATAAAATATTCATGAGCTAACCATGAGAGGAATTACATCAAGACATTTCAGATTTAGATGGTAGCCTGGTTTAAATTCTTTGTCTCCTCCCCTCCCCTCCCCTCCCCTCCCCTCTCCTCTCTCCTCTCCTCTCCTCTGTCTTTCTCCTTCCCTCCCTCCCTCCCTCCCTCCCTTCCTTCTTTCTTTCCTTTCTTTTCTTCTTTCCCTCCTTTCTTTCCTTCCTTTCTTTCTTTCTTCCTTCCTTCCTTCCTTCCTTTCTTTCTTTCTTTCTTTTTCTTTCTTTCTTTCTTTCTTTTTTTCTTTCCTCCCTCCCTTCCTTCCTTCCTTCCTTCCTTCCTTCCTTCCTTCCTTCCTTCCTTCCTTCCTTCCTTCCTTTCTTTTTCTTTCTCTTTCTTTCTTCTTTCTCTTTCTCTCTTTCTCTCTCTCTCTCTTTCTTCTTTCTCTCTTTCTCTCTTTCTCTCTCTCTCTTCTTTCTCTCTTTCTTCTAAGCAAGATTATGAGAGAGGGTCACAGTGTACCAAAAAGGAAGGATTTAAAACAATAAGACAGAGGGTTTCATAAATCTTAAAGTTGATTCTCTGTAAGTTGGTATTCTGAATACATTGTCATATAATGTTGATGTAATTTTCTAAACAAAACTGCATACTAAATGAAAACATGAAATGTGGGTTGCTATGTTTACAAGAGCATTTTTCTTTTACTTTGTTGCTGTTTTGGTGCTGCAGAGTAAAGGAGTTTGGAATTAGTCCATCAGACATTCCCTTCTCACAGGGTACTGGCAGTCGCCCCGATCTCTCTCCTTCCTATGAGTATGACGACTTTTCTCCTTCGATTACCAGGTCTACTTCATTCAATCCCTAAGATATTTGTTCTACTAGTTTCTTTTGAACTGTGCTGTATATAAACATTTCATTTACTTTTGTCCTAAGTCATTTGATTTTTCCTGTTCATTTCATTTGGCAGGTGGTGGTTGTAATGCATGGCCTACATTTTTATGTCCTTTATTAATTTATTTGCTTTAAAGTATTCATTTAAAATTCAGGCTTCCTGTTTCCCCTCATGTTTTTTAAGTATGATGTCACTTTTGCACAGTTATCTTTGAAAAATAAATTGTCTTGTTTAAAATGAAGAGTTTACCTTCGTTCACTATGCACTTACAGATTTCCTTGTTGGCAAGGAAAAAATCAAAGATCTCTATGGCTTTGAAAATGTACTCTTGCCCAGATGTTTAAATTCAAGTGTACTGAGTAAACACTTTTTTAAGTGATGGAATGTTAAATTTTTTCTCATACTTCTGTTAATTAGCATTACTATGACCAGAAAATAATGATCTATTTGATGACCTCAATGTCTATATAGTTTGCTGGTCATCATTTCTTATGTACAGTAATTATTTCTGAAATAGTTATAAAATTGGTGGAGTGGATTCCTAAAATTAAACAACCCAACCTCCCTTTGAAGGGTTTTGACACACGTTTCTGTTAAAAATAGATATAAAGGTGACATCATCAATCATAGTATGCTAATTGAATTGCGTTTGTATTATTCAGTAGGTTGGTATGTTGGTGTTCTTTGGGAGTCTTTGTTGATGTCCGGTCCTTCCTGTATGTTTCTAGGGTGAAAGAACTGACTGTAGATCCTACTGCCGCTGGTGATGTCCGTCCAATAATACATCACCCGCCCAGCCAGATTGACGATGTCGAGGCCCAGTGGGGTGTGGGGAGTTCCCCTCAGAGAGATGATCTCAAGCTGCTCTGTGAACAAAATGTGAGTGCTTTCATACGCCTGAGATTAATTCAGTCTTGGTTTATTTCGTGGTGACAGAGTTACTGATTTAGATTGAAGGTTATCATCTAAATCAAGATTTAGCAAATGATAGCTTATGGACCATTCAACCAGTTTTACTAGTAAAGTTTTATTGAAACATAACCATGATTATTCCTGTGTAGCACCCACACCAGTGATAACAGGCTGTATAGCTCACAAGCTCAGACTGCACACTAAATGGTTCACTAACCTGATGCAAATGGTGGCTTTTCCAGAGTTTATGCCAGCATTAAAATTGGGGGATTTTAAAAAGCAACATTGGAAAAAGCAAATTTAGGAATTTTTCTCTCAGGGCCAAAGTGATCGCTCAACTGATCCTTCACCTGTTTGGGGTCTGGGAAAGCAGTGGAGAATGGCCCGGGGCCTTGTGTGGGGAACCTGAAGGAACTCCTGGCTTCAAAGCAGCCTAGCTCTGACCATTGTGGCCATTGAGAGAATGAACCAGCAGACAGAAGTCTCTCCTTTTCTATATACATCTTTCTAGTAAAAGTAGTCCGATATTAAATATATATAGATTATATATTTGAACTAAACTTTATGGAAGTAGTAGCACTTGTCTAATTTTGAAGCAAAGGAAAGAAATAGGATAATGTAGGCTTTGGGGAAGTGGCCAGAAAAATAAGTAAAGGTGTAATATGAGAGAGAGTATGTCTGTGTTTATTCAAAGTATAGGGAGAATTTGATAAACTTCCCACATGTCCTGTTCAAAAATAAGTACATGTTTTCCCAAAGAGAAAATTCTTACTAACTTGGTTTATTTTTATTTGAAAGGCAGATTTATAGAAAGAAGCAAAGAAAGGAAGAAAGATATTCCATCTAGTGGTTCACTTCCCCAAATGGCCAATCTGAAGTCAGGAGCCAGGAGGTTTTTATGGGTCTCTCATCTAGATGCAAAGGCTCAAAAACGGAGCCATCTTCCACTGTTTTCCCAATCCATAAGCCAGGAGCTGGATCAGAAATGGAGCAATTGGGACTAGAAATGGCACTCACTCGAGATGGACAAGCAAAGGATTGACCTGTTGAGCCACCGCACTGGTCCCTATATAAACTTTCTTTTTTAAAAGATTTTTAAAATTTTTATTGCAAAGTCAGATATATAGAGGAGGAGAACGCTTCTCGGCCTTTTGGCTTAAATCAAGTGTACAGAGGAGGAGAGACAGAGAGGAAGATCTTCCGTCCCATGATTCACTCCCCAAGTGACCACAACGGCTTGTGCTATGCCGATCTGAAGCCGGGAACCAGGAACTTCTTCCAGGTCTCCCATGTGGGTACAGGGTCCTAAGGCCTTGGGCCGTCCTCAACTGCTTTCCCAGGCCACAAGCAGGGAGGTGGATGGGAAGTAGGGCTGCCAGGATTAGAACCGGTGCCCAAATGGGATCCCGATCCTGGTGCATTCAAGGCGAGGACTTCAGCCACCAGGCCACGGCTCCGGGCCCTGTATAAACTTTCTTGATGAAAGAGTTAAATGTCTACTTAAATGATTTAATGAAAATATATGCATATGTTTAGAATCACATATTTGTCTTTTCAAAAATTCCTTTTTTTACAAAACAATTTTAAATAGGCTACATGGTTGTGTATGTCACTACATTTTTTAAAATGTCATCAGACACACTGGGAAGGAGACTTATTACAAAAGATTAAACCAGAGAAATTTTGACTTGAAATTGGACCAAAATGAGCAGGTTGTGTACATTCAGGCAACAATGTTCTGAGAAATACATCAGGCAGTTTCATTGTTGGGCCTGAGCGACAGAAGAGATGCTTACACGAAGCACTGGCTGTGGAATAACGTGCTACACACATAGGCTGGATGCCTAAGTGGGCAGTAGTGTGAGTGTGCGTATGTGTGCCATAGCCTGTTGTCCCAAGAGCTGTGATGCTGAATCAGGTGCAAGAGCAGAGGTGGTGAACAGGAGGTGTGTAGCTGAATAATGAGGAGAAATAGGAATCAATTAACCAGTAATATGATCAGTATCAAATGTTATGTATACTCTGCGTAATTGGATGTGCTTTTATGTAACTAGAAGCACAGTAGGCTTACGCCAACATTATTATAAATATGAGGTATTGTATCACTATGTTAAAATGGCTACAGCCTGATAGGAATTTTTAAGCTCGATTTTATCTTAAGGGATGATCGTCGTATATGCATTCATCATTGAACAAAACTTTATTTTGCATTGCAAGACTGTGTGGTGTTGGGGGGTTTTATTTTGCTGTTCTATTTTTGGTAATAAAAGGGGTTAACAACCGATTCAAATATCTATAAAGACTGGTAAGCAAATTGTGTGCTATAATTTAAAAATTCAGCTTGAGTAAGAGTTGAGACTCTCAGAACACTAAACATAGCCACAGTCATTGAAGACGTTGTACTTGCATTTATTTTAAGTCGCCCTTATCATTCAAGCTTCCTCAAATTCAAAGTGACGTTGAAAAACGAATTGTATAGCACTTGAAGTTTACGCCCTTCATCGGTGTTTTACGCTTTTTATCTCAAGGAGGAAGAGGTGTCTCCACAGCTGTTTACTTTCCACGAAGCGGTCTCCCAAATGGTGGAAATGGAAGAGCAGGTTGTGGAAGATCACAGAGCAGTGTTCCAGGTAAAGCGGAAAAGGACCTTCCTTCAGAATCTGGAGAAAATGAAATCTGGAGATTAGCTTTACAGTTGTCTTAATGCCTTTAAGATACTTGCTGGTATATACGCATGTGTGTGCTTAGAGGGCAAAAAAAAGGAGATTGATGGATGCAGATATTTCTTCTGCCTCACATTGAGAAGATGTGTTTCATTTGCAAAAACCTTTCTCCTTTGTTGTCAGCTGTCGAGTTTTAGTTGAGAGTTGAACTTCTGCCGGTGAGTTCTCTTTTCTTCAGTTTAGGCCAGCTTGTTTAATGCAATTAAAAAAAAAAGAGGAGAAAAGTGTTTTTGGAACAATTGAACAAGTCAGTCTTTAGGTGAGAGTGAACTGCTCTGACTGAACCTGCAAATGGAAGATTCGGTGTCTCTCTCCTCTCTAACCTTGCCTTTTTCAAATAAGTTTTCAAAGCTACATCTTTGTTACCGACAACAAAATCAGTAAGTCTCCGTTTGCCCAGATATTCACTGCCAACTCTTTGCTGGGGGTGGGTTGATTTGTTCTGTCCTCCAGCCTCTGTTATGGTACCAGGTGTCCTCTGCAGGCTCCAGTGTACTGCCATATCCTCCATGTGCACCTGGCTATGCTGTCTGTTTAAGCCACTGAGGAGGCCCAGCTCTGACACTTGCACTCCTCGGTCAGAGCATGGAGCCTGTAATTTTCTCCAGGGTTGGAATATGAGTCCAGTGGTTCCGTTAGGGGAGTCACAAAGAAACTTCATTTGAGGCGATCTCAGACTTGATTCTTATGTGTGCTTGTCAGTACAGGGTCTGGTATAGTCTGTTGCCCAAATTGGCCTATACGCACACTGTTAGTTGCAATTGCTGGGTCACTTGTCTCTAGCCCTGTCTTCTCTGCAAACTGATGGGTGTTGCAGTCCACGCTCATCCTGCCCACCACACCCTCGGCCCCCGTGCAAACCAGTGGGAGCTGCAGCCTAGTCAGAGTGACCCGCAATAATCCCCACCAGGCCCGCCCCCTGCCCTGGTTCCCGTGCTTACCAGTTTGTATAGCAGCCTGGTCCAGTCTGTCCCACATCCCATTCAGCTCTCATACATGTCAGAGAGCATTGAAGCCTTGTTCAACTCAACCAGTCCCCCTATCAAGCCCAAACATGTGCCAGCGGGTGCTACTCTGTCTAGTCATGCCTGTCCCAATCCTGAGCCAAAGGAAAGCATGTGGGTACCATAGCCTGACCTGGTCTGAGTTGCTCCCTTTCTTGGTTCTTGCGCTCACCTGCAGGGACTGTCCTGACAGAGGAGTACCCCAGGCTCCTCCATCAGAAAATCTCGCAGTGCCAGATATCAGCGCACATCAGTGAGTCCATGGGCCAGTCCTACATGGTCCACCTACTGTTCTAAGAGGAACAATAGCTTTTCCTGACTAGCCATCACCCATTCTGGTTCTTATTGTTGGGTGCTACAGCCCAGCTAAGCCTGGTCCCTACCCAGACACAGCTCACACATGGCTCAGCAGGGACAGGGATCTAGCCCAGCCCATCCTACAACCATCATGGTTATGACAAACTCCAATGGATGCTGGAGTCTAGCCCAGTCTGGCACACCCCAGACCCAGTCCACACCCATGCCGAGGGAGACTGCAGCTATGTCCAGACCAGACCTCAGCCCCCACTCCAACATCCACGCTCACCAGTGGGACCCACAGCCCAGCCAAGGCATCTCCTTAGCTCCCCAGTCAGGCCTGTTCCCAGCTACAAATCTCGCGCATGCCAGTAGTTGCTCTGACCCAGCTTGGCATAGTCTCTCTCCTGTCTTGGCTTTTGCCTTTGGATGTTGCAGTCTGGCCTGGACCAGCCGGCCCCCAGTCCTAACTCACTGGTGGGTGCTGCAACCTGGCTCTGCTCAGTCTGCTCTCAGCCTTGTCTCATGCAACCCATTAGGTGTGGCAGCCTAGTCCAGCATGACCTGTACTCCACCCTGGTTTCTGCATTTACCAGTGGTTTGCTTGGCCCTACCCAGTCTGCCCCCTTCCAAAACCAACTCACACTTGCTGATGAATGGAGCTACCCTGCCAAGCTTGCCAAACACCCAGGCCAGTACCATGTACTTATCAGAAGTAGCTATGACCCACCAGAGGAGTTTCCCAGGTTTCCCCAATTGGGCCACTCCCAGACCCAGTTCTCATATATGTCAGTAGGTACTTGGCCCTTACCCAGCATGACCTACCTCATCCAGCCAGCCTTTGTTTGAGCTGGTACAGCCCATCCCACCCCACACCCTGTTTTAGGGTGCTCATACAGGTGCTGCAGCCTAGACCTGTTCCACTTGTTCCTGGTCCCAGTACTGGTGAGCATCAGTGAATTCCATGGTCACGCTAGCTCAGCCCTTCACCATTCCAACTCTCAAGCTAACCAGCCGGACTTGTAGTTTCATAGGGTTGGACCCGCAAATCCCCCACAGAATCCACTTTCAGACCTGGTTCTCTTGCATGCAGGTTGATGTCATGACCCAGTCTGATACTCAGTGTCAGGTACTGGGATCCAACCCTGCCAGACAGGCCCCCAGCCATAGCTTGTGTGTAAGCTGGCGTGTGGTGATCAGCCACGTTCCATGCCAACAAGCCCAACCCAGGACTGCCATGTGGGTTGGTGTATCAGTCTGACCAGTAAAGATCTTAATGTCTGTCCAAACCAACAGGTCTCAGTCCCCTCCCTTACCTGCAAGTACAATGGCCCTGTCATTGGGTATCCCTCAGGATTCATTCCTCACCTATATTTACAGTGGCCTTATCTATGATGTCCCTAGACAGTAATACCATACCCCCAATACTCCTAAGCTTGCCACTAGGCAGCCAGCGGGTAAAGCCCAGCGCCAGTTGGCACTCTGGCTGCCCAGAAGCCCAGGACCTACCCCCCCCCCCAACTCCAGCAACAATAGATGGGGAGCTTATATCCCCAGCAGGAAAGCTGGTCCGGCATGGGTTCCCCCAGCCACAGCCACATAGCTGTCCTCAACAGCTTTCCCAGGACAGAAGCAGGGAGCTGGATGGGAAATGGGGCTGCCGGGATTATAACCGGCACCCATATGGGATCCTGGCAGGTACAAAGCAAGCACTTTAGCTGCTAGGCTACCATGCTGGGCCCCACATTCCATATTGTTGTACCTGGATCAAGCCTGTTACTCCACTTGTGATGCATAGATGCGTGCCCTGCAACGCAGCAGGTGATGGTTTACAAACTTGAGTTCCTGCCACCCACGTGAAGTTGTTGGCTGAGCCCAGCACGCGCTATTGTGAACACTTGGAGAGTGAACTGACAGATGGAAATCTCTGTATGTCTCTCGTGTACCTTTCAAATAAAATGAAAAGAAACCTGAGTGTTTTTGAAGAGCCAGTGTTCAGAATTTAGTCACCCCTCGGGCTAGGTGTTTTTGTTATTTCCAGACAACTTGGAAGCATACCTGGTTTCCCCTTATTTTAGAATTGATGTTAACGTTTTGAGACTATGTCTCTTTGATATTTACGTGTTTAATTCATTCCCTTCCCCAAATCCCCACTCAAGATAGACTAGAAAAATGAAGTCATCATGCTTGACTCATCCTATGTATTTGTGTGAATTGTCTTATAATTTATTGTCTGAGTAAATTGCTTTATGTCTGAATATTTAAGAGAGCACCATCTTGAATACATTGGATTATCTGTAACAGTGATAAATTGCTTACTGGTTATTGAATGTTCTTTCAGGAATCGATTCGATGGTTGGAGGATGAAAAGGCTCTCCTTGAGATGACTGAAGAAGTGGACTATGACGTAGATTCCTATGCCACACAACTTGAAGCAATTCTTGAGCAAAAGATAGACATTTTAACTGAGCTGCGAGGTAATTCTTTCCATTTTGGTTAACTAGTATTTGAAATCTGCTTGGTGTTAGTCTGTGTGTTAGTGGGAGGCTTTCATATCTCAAGACAACATGTTGAGTGGAAATTGCTGGCATCTTTAGCACTGTCCCTCAAATTAGACAAACCAGCCATTCTATTCTGTAAAAATATGGAGTGTCACTTCCACTTCTGTCTTATCATATTTTGTCTTTATCCTTTTGAGATTAAGACAGCTTACATTTGATTAAAGAGGAGGGATTGGAGAAGCTGTGCATTTTGCTTTGCCCTCTCAGGTCTGATTTGGCCATGTGTCTGTCTGGGGCCAGGTCTATTGAGATGTGTCTTCCTCCGGTGCCACCTGACATGTTTCTTCATTACAAGTGGAACGACGAAGGGAAGCATGTGGCTTTGTACACACCATGTATTTTTGGCTTTCTCATTGGCTTACCTATTTAGACCAAGTATTTGTTTCTTGTATGTGAATTTCTCAGGCACTGGCAAATTACCGGTTGTTTAGATGCCAGGAGGCATCTCCATGTATGTGTACATAGATTCAAATGGCCAGTTTTTAACAGCAAATAAACTGTACATTTTTAAGTCCTTCATGAGTTGATTATACAAAATAATTCCTTATGAAACCAGCAGTGGCTGTCTCCTTATATAGTACATGCTTTTCATATGCATGCCTTGATTTAAATTGATCATTTTGCTAATCTGCAAGAATTCACAGCTTTTTTTATTTTATGTGCATTTATTCAGGAGACCATACACACTCTAGTATGTTTTTCTTTGTAATATATAGCATTTCACTTGACTCTGTTTTTCTTAAATTCCTGTAACTTTGAAGAAGTTTGCCTTCTAGACAGATAACTCAACATCTTATTTTCACCATTTAGAGAGAACATTGGAATAACAGTAGATGTTGCCTTATATTTGTAAATTTTTAAACATCATTGCACTTCTTCTGAAAGCTGAAGGGAGTCAGGAATGTGGCTTTCTGTCCTCTCTTCCGAGTAGGGAGCAGGCTTGGAAGCTTGGCATTATTTACATTGTGAGCCAAGTCCTGTAATGTTGTGCAGTGTTTGCCAGCATCCATGGTCTTCACCTGTTAGGTGATGGTGGCACCACACCAATTGTGACCAAAAATGTCTCTAGACACTCCCTTAGGAGGCAAACATCACAAAGACCCAGTTTTCCCTTTGGACATGATTGTAAGTATCCATAAACCTGTTTATACTCTGAAAGGAATTCGTAAAATACTGAGTTATTCATTAAGAGAGCTGACTTGATTAGACTCAAAACTGAACAACTGTATTGCACATATTGCAATACTTATTCTCTTTTTCTTTTCTTTTTCCAAGATAAAGTAAAATCTTTTCGTGCTGCCCTACAAGAAGAAGAACAAGCCAGCAAACAAATCAACCCGAAGAGACCCCGTGCCCTTTAAGTTGGCCTTGCTGCTAAAGGACCCCCAGCACCCTTAATACTGTAATGGACATGGTTTAGCTGTAAGGGCCATTTGAAAGTTTTAAGATTTTAAGTGTCTGTGGAAAATGTCTTGTCCTTCACCTGAATGACATTTCAATTTTGTGAACCACCTCCGCCTCCAAAATGCTTCTAGTCCGGGAGGCACAAACAAGAATTGGGATTGGTGAAGCATTACATTTCATTTACCCAGTAGTGGTTTGCTTTTGGAGATCCTTGCCAATTTCATTTGTTAAAGGAGGGAGTTGGGTTGTGGACTTGACCTGGAGGTGGCTGTTAGGGGGAAGCCACAGCATTTCCTTTGACTTGGTTCAGTTTGCATAGCCAGACGGCGCGGTTGACCCTGAGCGTGCATGCTTACCTCATCCGTGACTGTACATACCCGCCACTCCTCGACGGCTGTGCTCGCCTCCCGCTCTGTGCCTTGACCAAGGCTACGACCCCGAGTTGCTGAAGCACAGCCAAGAAAAATTACATTCCTTATTCATCATTGTAAATTACCGTTATTGTGTGTACATTTTTACTGTATTTGAGACATTTTTGTGTGTGACTAGTTCATTTTGCAGGATGTGCCATATCATTGAACAGAACTTAAGTCTGTGACAGTGGACATAGCTGCTGAACCATTCCATCTTATATGTATAAAATCTGGAATTATGATTTTAAACCATATAACATGTGATTTTAATTTTCTTAGCCTTTTTCTTTGTAAAGAACTAAAATATAAACTAGTTGGTGTAAAATAAAAAGCAATGAAGTTCTGAGAAGAGTTTTATCTTAGGGTTATACATATATATGCAGTGTGTGTGCCAGTGTGGTATTAACAAGATTAATAGTGCAATTTGATCTTTACCAGTACCATTAACTTAAGTTGAAATGTTCATTAGCACCCCAAAGTGTACCATTCAATGTACTGGTAAAAGAAGCTGGCTTCTGATGCATGAACGCTGACATGTGCGTTGAAGGTAGCCCATAGCAGAGGTTAGCTTATGCCAGGTACACACAGCACGTAACTCCCTTGAGAATTAGGCGCAAAGAGCTCCACCTAGTAACCTAATGTGTCATATTTTCCCATTACTTGGTGAGGATTGCCAAATTCTTACCAACAGATCGCCGTACAGTGCGCTACTTTTTCAATGGCAGCATTTATTTTTTAGATTCCTACTCCAAACAAGGAAACTGGCCACTTTTCATGTAAATATTTTGTTAAAAGATTTCTATGTGACCCTAGGAGCATTCCCTTGGTTACCAGTAAATGCACCACAGGGGAGGAAATAAAAAAAAGCAAGCCTCCCAGGGGCATCTTCTTCTGGCTTAGGTAAGGACAAGCCCATGCAGGGGGGCCGAGGCGGACCGAGGGCAGATCCGCCCGAGCCGGAGTCTCCACGTGCCCCTTCCTAGTTATGAGAAATCCTGCCACCAGGTTGAAAAGTTCTGTAAACGTGAACCATGCAACAACTGGATTTTTCATCAATACTTATCAATAAAATGAATGGAATGAGTTTTAGAGATCATTGACTTCAATACAGTAACCATTTTGGAAGGGACTCAGGTTTTCTTGCAGTTGTAAGATATATTCCGTTTATGTTTGTTTCTAAGAAAAGAGGAAGTGTAATCGCCGCCTTGCAGGGACCGGCTTTGAGCATGGCCGCTCCTCCGAGGGCAGTGTACCTGTGGGAACTTGCTCCTTGTTAAGCACAGCAGGTTGCTTTGTGAGTTGCATTGATGGCTACTTTGTTACAGAGTCCTTCAGACACAAGTGCTGCCTTCTACCGTGATGACGTGATGACGTGATGACGTCCTGTCAGCAGTTGGGTATTTACTGAAGGTAGTGGAGGTGGTACAACCCAGGCCTCCTGCGATACAGGGGCCAGACAGCAGATTAAAAGTCAGCATTTCATGGGGGGGGGAGAGAAACAATGTTGAATTTTAGCATTCTTCTAGAAGTGTAGACACGGTACAAAGTGAATGTTGCAAAATGTTTTGATGAGAGTAAAAAAAAAAAAAACAAACGTTGCCCTTAAGTATATTTAATATTCATGTAACAAAAATGGCTTGATGTGGCCAGATTTTTTTTGTTGTTGTTCTGAATTAAACAGTACTTTTTCACACCTGAAAGCATATGTCCCTGTTACTATATGAGAATGACTGAAGCTAGAATTTTTTTAAAAATCTGTTTAGGGAAAAGCAACTTTTCTTCTGTTCCAGGTTTATTCAATGTACTTTTGCTAAATTAATTATAAACATCCTTTGTATAAAGAAAGTTAAATATCAGTTAAGATATTTTCATTATTGATTTTCTTACAGGCAAAATAACCTACTATATACCTCTTTATTAAAATGTGCTAGCAACACTTACTGTTATTATTCAGACTTAAACACAATAGCTAATAGAACTTCTTTAGACATCTATTGAAATTCTCACTCCGGCAGTTTAAAAACACTTTAAAGGTAAGCTTCGAGTATATGAAAAAGTACTGTAATTTTTAATTATCCAGAAGTTATACAAATAGGAACCAATAATATTGTGAGAAAGTGGACCTTTTAATGAGATTGAAGGCAGAGATTTTAAAACCTGTTTTAATTTATGATTTTGCTAAGTCTGTATCTCCTCTAGAACAAATATGTAACCTCATAGTTAAAATTTAATTGATATGATTCTACTTAAGCTTTCCTCATTTTATGGGCTGTGCCCTGCCCAGAATATGTTTGGCACTGCCTCATGGCAATAGCAGCCTCAGGCTTAGCCAAAACCTGCATGTAGATTGTGTGCTATGAGATGGTTAAAGAGGCAGAGAGTGAGAAAATAAATGATATAGGGTAAATGAGAATTTGAGAAGCAAAAAGAAACACTCAAAATGGAATTACTGTACATGTGAATGGCAAATGATATGAAGAATATGTGAGCAGTTAAGCATATCTGAACATTTTTATTACTTGAGAGAGTAAAAATGACCTCATTTATAACACAGTAAAAAGATTAGCATCTTTATACAATAAAGTGTGAGAAACACTAAGTGTAAAGTTGTGCATATCTGTGGCTTTTGAAGATTCTGTAGAGTGGACCCTGTCCTGTGTTTATTAAAAACAAACCAGGAATAACAACAACAAAACACCTGGGGACTTGGAATTGACCACCTTAAAGATTCAGAAAAATAAATGATGATGGCAGAAATGTGGCTTCCAGAGAAGCAACAGCACAGATTGTCTTCTTAGCAAAAATATATAATCTGTTTCCTTTTTTGACTTTGAAACATTCCGTCTTCCAGATGCCTAGGAAAAGTGAATACCCTCTTCATTGAATCCGTGTAGCAGTCTAAAAAAGAAACCCAAAATGGGGAGGTATTGAAAAGCAAATTTGAATATCATTAGATTCTAAAACTACTCATTGGAAAAACCTCATTCTGCAACTAAATTGATCCAAGTTGTATTGGTTTAAACCATTTTATAGTAATGCCTCTTTAGTTACCACCTGTAGATCTACAATTATAATAATGAATATGACAGTAGTTAATCTTGCACATCCCCTGCCTTAGGCCTGCGAACCAATTGACAGTTTGTTCCATTTCAGCATAGTGACTCTACAGGAAACAAACTGGAGACAGATCAGACGAAGGAGCAAGCAAGCTTGCACGCACATCGCCCCATGGAGTACTGAGGTTTGGTATGCGTGGTTTCTGTGCGGATACCTACGTCAGAGTGTTAGCCAAATGCATATAATAAATGACCTTGGAAAAAAATACGCGAATGAAGGATAATAAGATAAAATATTGTATTTGGAGCTGCAGTTATTTTCAGGCTGGGCCACAGGAATAGGTCCAAATGAAGTGTGCAGAGCTCTGCTGGCCAGACAATAAAATGCAAACACCATCTGTCCTGGTTGTACAGACCTGTGTTTATTGTTTGTCACAGGCAATGGCATTACAGTCTGCTCTCATGTTTACTCAGCCTCTACAACATGGAAACTCTAAAAACAAATGGGCTATAAGAGTCAAGAATCTTAACATGTTAAGCTAAAGACCGCGAGTACGTGAATTACTGAAATGAAGCCTTTTTGGCCTCAGCTGCCTGGACAATTATGATACCTGTACATCAGAGCCATGTAGAGCCTGCCACAGGCCACACGACCTAACTGGGCTAAACACACGAGACAGGTGTGCTGGGTCAGATCTGCTTACACATGCTAACACCCAGACAGCGCTTGGGAGTTGGGATAGGCCAGGTGGCAGGAACACGTGACCACACGCCAACACAGAGGCTGACTGCTGCTCCGACTGTTCCTCATTACTGTTCCTAGTAACAGTAAACGGTCACTCTGCTGTAGCTCATCAGCTCCGCCTTGTGCACCAAATACTATTCCATGGAAGTGCCATGCAGTACTGCCAAGCAGCACCTCACACCGCTCAAGAGCCTTTAAATCTAATCAGAAGGTGTCACAGTAAAGAAATGTAAACATGAAAACAAGAGCTGTAACTTACCTGATAAAGTCATCTATATCCATGGTGCGGGCCCTTTTGTCACTGAAACCTGTGCTGCTTAGGATTTGCTGTATTTTATCTGCTATGCTGAAATCTTCTGGTATAATCTATCAATATAAGATTCAGAATAAATGAACAACATATCTTTAATGAAGTCACTTTGACTCTTTTTTGTTTTTTAAGTTTGGTAAGTCATAAGGGAATGATCTTAACATTACAAATTAATGAGTTTGGAAAGCCTGATTATTTTGACATGACTTGGATCTCTTATAGTTATGTGGCTAATCTGTACTGCATAACAAATACTCAGAATACCTGGAGTGAGTCTTCATGTATACTGTGCTTTTTTCTTTAAAATTCTAAAATTCAGAGATGATGTCTAATCCTTGAGAATATTATTTCATATTTCATTTATATCTATGCCAAGCTTTCTTAATCCACTTATTTTCTAGGCAGTTACTCAATCGTTTCTTCAACCCATAAAACACAGAAAGGAGATCTGTGAGATCTGAGTCACACAAAGGATAGAAAAGCAATTTGTCTCTGTTTTAATTATAGAGCGGGTGCCCACACATACACATACAGCTGTGAGAGCTGCACAGGTAAGATGCAGGCTGAAAACCCAAACCTGTAACTCAACCTGCAGAAAACACTAACTAGTAATTGTTATCTGAGCAACAAACCAAGGGTTGGTCAAAATCAGAAGACCAAATTATTTTAAGTTGAGCAAACTACACGTCTACAACTTTGAGGGAATCACAACTTGACTGAATCTGACAGCGCTCTCATCCGCTGGCTCTTGGCCCAAACGCTTACACCAGCCGGGACTGTGCCAAAGCCTGGAAGCCAATCCAGGTGTCCTGTGTGAATGGCAGAAAGCACCCCCTGCTTGAGCCATCCATCATCACTCCGCTCAGGGTCTGCAGTGGCAGGGAGCTGGGGCAGCCACCGAACCCAGATCATGCACTAGATGCAGACACTTCAACAGTGCTTTGACCGCCAGGCTACACACGCCCCCTCAACCTGCTTATTCTGACTGAAAGAGGAGAGGGGAAGGGGTTTAGTAAAGGTTGCTTATATTTGAAATCTACAACAACCCTGACCTGTCATAATTCACGTCACAGTTCCGAAACTCTGCATTTGACAGCACCATCTTTCAAGTGTCCTGTGGCATGTACAAAATAATGGGACCAGTTCAAGTGGCTATCCTCCACTTGCAAGCACTGGCATCCCCTACGGGTACTAGTTTGCATCACAGCTGCTCTACTTCCCATCCAGCTTCCTGC